CATGCGTTCACGTGCCTTCAGCATTCAGCAGTTTCTGCATTTGTTCCACGGACAACTCCATATGTTTGTCTTTTTTTCGTGAAAAGCCTTTGCCGATCATTCTTCTGTGGCTGTTTACTGCCTGTTCAGGAAAGCGTTCACCGTTTGATGATTCGTTTATGACAAGGAGGATCGAGGCATTCTCGGCTTTCACTTCGACGCAAAACTCTGAATTCCTCTGTTTTGCCCACATATTCACTTCTTTATTACTGCGGCTACTACTAATCACTGAAACGCTGATCTTCTGCAGCTGCTAACCAACGTGAGTTTATATCTTTTGTGAAATAACTTCGGTCGCCTTTTTAGATTTGCTCTCCTTTGACACCCTTGACAGATTTTCCGTTTCTCTCCTCACTTCGACATCTATTTTGGTTTTCTCCTTGTTTACATCAAATTGCCAGTGTAGGATTGAAAATGGGTGGAACGATTATGATTCCAACCCTTTTCATTTTTGCGCTGGCTGAAGAAGGAATCATTTTTAGTCTTTTCGTCGTTCTAGTTTCTCAAAACATTTTTAACTAGCAATCATCCAGCCCCGCGCCATTACTTCTGGGCTAATATTTATATATTTTGCTGAAGATCAAGGGCTTGACCCAATCGTCGTCGACGAGGTGTCAAAGCCCAGGTGAGTCGCATCGTTTAGAAAGTCAAATGGGCTGTATATTGGCAGCAATGGCTTTACCCGAGGTCGAGACATACAAAGATCCCCAAGGGAGAAATTTCGAAGATTTTGTACTGAGGTTTTCGATGAAATACCAAAATCTTGGGCTTCAGGATGAGTTGCTTAAAGGCAAAGTTCGGGATAATTGGTCGAAATTAGCTTTTCCCGTCAAATATGCAGCAGTACGCAAGCGCAGACCATGTGCAGAAGTGGCGGGGCGATTTGACAAGGTTTAGGCGCTAGGAGCCTAGGTTGGAGCATTGGCGCCGCCCCAACCCCATTGAGCCCGCCCACTGTTCCACGCGACCTTCCAAACAACCACTTGGAACACTAGATGTCAAGCCGTTGTTTGGAAGGTCGTAGGAGGATATTTAGCGGATTTCGACTGCCAACTTCAACATCAAAGTCTATGTTACGGCCATTATCGGGAACTTTGCAATTCATTTTAAGAAGAATAATTTTTTTAAAATGGGAAAAACAAACAAAAGCAGAAATAAGCAGAAACAATAGAAAAATTAGAAGAAATTAATTTCCATTGCTGATTTTTATGGCCGTGTCGGTTGTTGGCATGGAGCCAGCAGCTGCTGTGAACACGTCAGACACGTAATCCTCCCAGCCCTGGCTTCTAAGAAACTAACGAAGAGGAGGTCATTATTTTGACCTTTTCGGGGATAATTTCTGCTTTTCTTATTGAGGTTTGATTCACTTAGCACCCGGGGCGTCATATTTGTACAGAGAACACCCTCATTTTATCCCGGAGTTTGCCTTTAACCACTTGCTGCTTTCGAAATTGGACGGGTACCCAAAGGCAGTGGCTAAGGCACTACCTAAACACATAAGGGAAGGAAACTTCGACGGCTTAGTCGATGCATTGAGGTCGAAGTTTGAGGTAAACAGTTCGTCCATTCAAATGAAAGCGTATATGGATTTGAAGCGCTTGAGAAGGTCGGGAGACGTGACAAGGTATTGTCTGGACTCGCATCAGGGCAGGAGAGTTGGTAAGCCAGTTGACGGACTGGCCCGAATATCTTCAACTCTATACGACCATGGAGATTGCTCCAAAGGAGGCGGCATATGAAATGGTCAAAGCCATGGCGCAAAGATGCGAGAGAAGTAGAGAGGTCGCGACAGCAATAAGAGAAACTTCTACAGGTTATAATAAAAGTCGTAAGGAACGCAAAAGACGCATAGCTGCTCGAAAGTTCGAAGCGAGTAACGCTGAAAATTCTGCGACACAACCAACAGGCGCAGTTGACAGGAGAGAAGCGCGCTCAGAGGATGAACAGCGGAAACTCTGTGTAAGATGCTACAACTGTGATAAACAAGGACTTCTTGAAGGAAGTGGGTACGAAAAGGAATTTTT